AGAAGTGCTCGCATTTGTTTCGCTCATCGCTTCCACCGATGGATCACTTACTCACTCTCACCACTCGTTTCGCACGTCATATCTCACGGCATAATACTATCGGACAATACTATTGAATACAAAACAAGATAATTGTTATAACAATTCAAAACACAATTCAATGGTTTAGTAATAAATGTGAAGTGAATTGAGTTTGCAATCAATGATCACATGTTTTGCGTTCAAAACAGTGTTTTGTAAATATTGGGCAAAAAGTAACGATTTGTTGACAAAATATTTTGCAGTCAATTAATGGCACAAACCTTTGCATTCATTGACGAGTCATTCAATGGCTTAAAACGTTATAAAACTATTTGTAATGTAAATTAAAAATGAATTTTATTTTACGGATTGAAATGAAATGAAAAAACAGATTAAAAGCCAAAACAATAACAAAAAAGTGTTACAAAAGAGGGATTGAAATGAAAACTAAAACAAAATGTTGAGACAATCGGTGTATGAGTTGAGTGAAGAGCGCATGCGTTCACACGTATAGCCAATCGCGTCGACCAATAGATGACACGCTTTTGCTCTTCAAAAGGAGGCAAACATTTAAAGCACCGATTGATTGATCACATGATCACTGATTGTAAACACAGACAGTCTTTACTGTGTTTGTTATGAATCTATTAATTCACTGCAAACACAATGTCTTCAGAGTCGGCATCACATCCCATGTGAAAACACTTTCACTTCATTCACATCATTGCCGACCCTTTCATTCACAGGTTTGTTATTCCTCTCCAGAACCCGATTGTCATTCAAAATGTGATTAAGTTTTGTCTCGCGTTGAATGCAGTGTTTGTTTGTGCGGACGGATGGCCGCCGGCGAAGACAATTGGTGTCATCGGTGGCAGAGACCATACTCTGGAGGGACGTCCAGAAGAGAGACATCAACTTCGCTCGTCTTCGCACTTATTGGCGAATAATTCGTCTGAAAGACAGAGGCGTTGAACACAACATGAGGACCGATAGAGTGGACCGACGGACCGATGTGTTGGTCTATAAGGCGGAAGTGAATCGGACGACAACATTGGGCGGCATTATCTTCCCATTGGTTGCCATCATTTGTTGCATTGGATACAAACTGATGCCCAA